AAGCATGCCTAACATTTGGGAGAAGTCCCATTTGGGTGGTCTAACTCATGTGTCAATTAATAAATACTAGGATGAAATGAGGAAATTCTGATTATAGCTTTTAAAATATGCAATTATGTGCAGAAGCCACTAAAAAGTGGCCTATCTGAAATCCCCCAAAATATTGGGAGTATATGTTATAGGACACAACTGGAGACTACAATTTCATGAGCTGAGTTGCATTAGCATTCTTATCTTCCATAATTTAATAAAATGCACCACTAGCGCATCTCTCTCATAAACAAATGCAAATTCTGCAACTGGCAGATGATTGCCAGAAGCAACTCTAGTCCTCTGTCACTATTATTACTCTCAGTGTCCCTACTACTGAGTCAGTGCTCAGTTTACCTTTCCACGCCCCAAAGTAGTAGAAACAAGAGCTGGGTTCATTGTAGTAGGTTCTCCCTATTAAGCAGATGGCTTTAAAATGTATCTTTTCTTTCACCACCCTGTTGCTATATTGTGAGCAACAGAAAGGAAATTAAGTCCTTTAAGAATACAGACGTGTCAATTACCTTTGTTTTAGTGTTCAGGATACTGGTCCCGTTGGCAACTGACCAGGGATGCTGACATATTAACTATCTTGGTGAAGTTTAATGAAAAGACTCTACTACCAATCCTCAGGTAATAGTAATCTATGGGTGTCCAGCTGAACTGTTAGGATGATGAACTGTGTAAAGACAGCTTATCACTTATCCCCATCATCCTTAGGAAGCGGACGGCAATTCCTGCTTTCTCTCCAGAAGACAGGATTATTATAAAATTTTTTTTTTTTTTTAAGCTGAGCCATCCTACCACCTGTTGGCAGCTCAGTGGCTGCTCAGCTCAGGCTGGGCTGGGCATCAAACTGCTGTTGCTCAGAGGTCAAACTCTTGAGTGAGCTCTTAACCAACTGAGCCACTCAGCCAGCCCTTATTATAAATTTTTTAAAGCCTCAGATGGTTCACAGTTGGGAAGTGGTGAATGCTAGATAATTTTACATTAACATAAGCTATCTGGATATGAGAGTCATTTCTGATTTTTTTTATCACTTACCATGTGATTGTTTTCCCCCACTGGAATTCACATCACGGCTATCCCAATACAGCACCAAATACCCCAAAGGCCTGTGAGCTTATGCAAATCAACTGCAACAGCAGTGTCCTGACAGGAACACACCTCCGTGAGGCTCCACAAAGCACTTCCTCCCACAATATGGGAGGCGGGCAAGAATCCAAGGCAGACCACCTTGGAATGCGGTGACATCCAATGTAGTGACCCCTCTTAAGGAAAGGATTTAGTCAACCACAGGTTGAAAAAGACAATGATTATCAACAATGACCACCTCTGGGGACAACAGCCACAGCCGCAAATTAAACTTCTTTCTTCAGAGAGCTTCATTTTAAGCCTCAGATCCCAAAATAATTGCCATGATTAGCATAACCTTTGGATATAAAGAACAAGCTTTTTTTTTCCTAATACGCGATACAGACCACTATTGAAAAATATATGTATTTGGTTCTTTACAGTATTTGTGTGCCGTTTTGTTAAGTGCATGTGCATCTTTTTAAATGACATCCTTAGAGAAGCTTCTTGGATTGACCCCACTGGAAATACCTGAGAGATTTCTGGAACCCAGTTAAGAAATGCTGGCTGTTGAGTACAAACAGCATGGCTGAACATTTAATATCACACTCTATATTTTTCTTCTCTTTTTTTTTTTTTCCTCCTTACTCAGAAATGAACAAGTCCCCTTAATGATGTTAGGAGGGGAACTTGGTGCTTTACACAAAGCACAACTTGTAGGGGGAAAAAAATGCACGTGCCTCGTGTTTATGGCCAGGGCCATGGGTCAAAGTGAAAATCACGTCCTGTGTGAACTGAAATAATCAAGAGGTTTCATTTGTAGTGCATTTTTATGTTTTCGGGAAGTTTGTTTTGAGACAAAGAACATATGTGTGATAGTCCAGTCTTTTCACTGGACCCATGAACGGCTTAAAGACAACGATGAGATTTGAGTCTGTGCGTGTATCAGTGGAAACACGGGGTCTGCCTTCCCTACTTCTGTTCTAGTATGTTTGCTCTGAATAAGCAACAAATTGGTGGTAGCTATTACCCCAAGTGGCTTCCAGATGTTAACCGTGTGAGGGAACAGAACTGTTCTCTGACGAGAGTGGCAAGAGAGAGAAATTGTCAGTATATTCCATGATTTTAATAACCAAGAAACACACGTTTTTGTCCAGCAAGTCCACCTGCACAATGTGAAAAACCTACACCTCCATAAATAGGATACTTTTTTATGAGTAAGAGGAAGATTTAAATCTATGTAGCATATGTGAACCTACTCTTTAAAAAAAAATAAATAAGAACCAATTTAATGAAAACTGATAACTATTTCTCTTTGAATGCTTTAACGTTTTAGATTTACAATTTTATGTCTATACTGTACAGAAAAGGATATACAGTCTTACAGTCTACGTTAAGATATTACAAGCCCTTTTGACGTTTTACATAGTCTAGGTAAAAAAAACTGCCATTAAATTGTTCTCAGCCTAAGTTGATGCACTGATGCACTTTACATTTTTTTGCTAAGAAAAATAAATAATTCACACTTTTGCAAGGGAAGGTATGTACTTTTTCTTGCTTTCTTGAAATTATATTATTACTAGAAACAAGTGCCAGCAGACTTCATGGGTGGCATTTCTCACTAAGAAGCAAGACACGAATCAATATTTTTATTACAGTCAACCCACTTGTCTTCATAAACAAAATATTATTAATGTTTTTCCATTTAGATTTCAATGCTAGCAAGAAGAATATACAAATTGTTAGAAGAGAGAAATAAATTACACAAACAAACAGGTTTTCAAAGACCATCATTGGTGCAAATTGAAGCAAGAAGTCGAGATCGTCAGTTCAGGTTCCAAAAGCTGACATTTAATGTGGTTTTTTTTTTTTAAAAAAAGTTAATTATTGAGTAGATTGCTTGTTCATCTCTTGTACTTTTCCTATTGACACAGCTGTAGTTAATGATATTTTTGAAAATCTTTTGCCTGTTATGCATTCTATAATGGCCATGTAAATATAAACTAGTAGGGAATACGGGAGAAAAATTAAGTGAAAATTCTTTTTCTTTACACACACACACACACCTGCAGACTGCCTTCAAGTAAAAAAATAATTACAAAGGGCTTAACACAGTGGCAACATTAAATAAAAGCTCTTTATTTTTGCTGACTGTTTTTAGGCCCATATTATGAGGGCAGGGAATGAGAAAGACAGAAAAGAAAATGGTTGAATGTGCAAATACTGTGTGTCGTGGTGACCCTGCTTGCTGTAAGAGCAGGTATAAAGGGCATTTGAGCCCAGAACAGGGCAAACTTTAAGATCCCTAGAATTGAGGCAATGGCTACATTAAAATTTATAATCTCATATAACCGTTACTTTCTAAAGAGTTTAGTTCTATTTTATAAGACTTCAAGGCCTTTACATTTTTTCTAGTTGTTTTTTTTTTCCATAAGGGAGATGTACACAGAGACTTACTTTGTTAATTTACAACATTTTAAAAATTACGTAACGCTGAGACATTTTATCCAATGTGTATGTATTGTTTATGTATGTGTTTCTCTGTTCCTTTGAGTAATGCAACAGATAAAAAGCAACCAATGGAGAGGATATAATTTGATGCTCAAGAATGAGTAAAACCACAAATGTATAACTGCATTGTCTGCATGCCTAACGTGATTTCATTGAACTGTAATCCTTGGGAAATACCAAATAGTCTATTCTACATGGCTAATCTTTCAATCATTTTTTTTAAGCCAACAAGTGTGCTCTAAAGGAATTCTAAACATATAGTGAATCAGCAAACTAAACTGACCTTGACATTCATATTTTTAGATCCCAATAGGCATTGAAACCCTGCAAAAAGGGAGATTTTTCTTTTTTGCTTTTATTTTGTTTACTTGCCTTTTTCTTAGTTTACACGTTGAAGTTACCAAAAGGGAATGCCTCAATAATGGGCACATAGACTGGCTGAAAGCAAATGAGTAACAACAAAAAAAGCAAGAGATACACAAAGGATAAAAGAATGTACCAATAAACATCTCCCAGAGATAATTTTTCTCCCAAGTTCAATAGGGCAAAAGATCCACCACAATAGAAGCAAACAACCATCCTGAAACTTAATTACATTTCAAAGTAATGCAGTCACATGAAAGGAACAAAATATTTTGCTCAATAGTTTGCCTACCAGATGGCATTTCTAAATATAGTCATCTAAAACCTTCTGTTTGTTCTATAAATAAAGATGAAAGGAATAGCAACAATAGCTAAGCATTTAAATCACTGGAAATAAAAGGGTACTTTGATTAGGTTTGGAAGAATCTGGCTGATTCTAATAATGATCCTGAATCTGGGAAGGCTCAAGTTCAAGGTGAAACAGAATTCCCAAACTTCAGGTACCACACAAATGGGTGCTCTTCCAGCTGGAGGAGCAAACCAGGAACGAACACCAGGAGAACTTGGGGGAATCTAAAGGAACACAGGAATTCCTAATTAATAGAGACTCTAAAGAAGTTTTGTTTTGTTGTTTTAAACTAAAATAGTTGGAACGGTGTCCTGTCTTATTTTTGTGAGTTAATGTGTGTAATAGTTAAGGACCTGAACTTGGGAGTCAGACAGGCCCAAAGTGTGAGTCCAGACTCTACAAATGACTGGCAGTATGACCCTGAGCCAAGTTCTTTACCTCTCTGGCAAAAACAGATATTAATAGTACAGAGTTGTATAGGAATTTACTTACCACAGTGCTTGGCACCTAGGAAGTCCAGTGACTTTCAGCTGCTTATTATTATGATTAGCAATAATAATAATCGTAACTGTTATGTAATTGTTTCTGATTTTTTGCTGTGTCAAAAGTGTTTTGTGCACAGCAAGCTTTTCTGGCAGTAAATAGTTTTCTAAGGTAGAACTTAAAGCCTTACCTGGCATGCTTCCATGTGGCTTCTCCTCGTAGAGCACTGCGCTCTTCTCACTTGGTTCTTGGAACATTATTGAGAATTCATGTGAAGAAGGCAGGTCTAGAGAGAGAGAAGTATTTTTTTTTTTTTTGAGAATTGAGCGTCCGGAGATCAACCCAATCCAGCATGTCCTCCTTAATGACATCACTCTCATTAATTACCCTCAGCTGAAGACTTATAGGTTTTAGTGAAAGGACACAAAGTTCCCGTTAGATCTGGTTAACTAATAGCATAGTTAGTCCCATTCACAGCATTGGTGTAACACTGTGATAGTATAGAGCTTATCTTGGCAACTGACCCATGATGATATAAGCAGTTTCGTCAATTGGGAGTAGGGTGATTACCTTCAATAAAAAAAAGATGAGCTGTAATTGCTTAAATATGATGCAGACTACAATAAATGGGAGGCTGGTATTTAATGGCACTTCAAGTTCTACGGGGTTGTTTTTGAATTTTACATGAGGAAACAGCGACCTGCTGGGGCTACCGCCCTCAATATTATAAGATGTCTAGGGTTAGGTCTTTATATAGCAAGTAATTCTGTTCCTTGAGTAAGGGGCATTTTTTAAATTGTGATAATATGTACACACAATGTACCATTTGGACCATTTTTACGTACAGTAAAGCCTTGGATTGCGAGTAACGTGGTTTGCAAGTATTCTGCAAGGCAATTAAACATTTCTAATACATTTTAACGCGGTAAACGAGCGATGTCTTGCAACACGAGTAGTTTGTTTCCGCAACAAATTATGCTCGCAAACCAAAGCATTACTGTATATAGTTCAGTGGCTGTAGCCATTAAGCAGTATCTCCCCATTCTTCCCTCCCCTCAGCCCCTAGTAACCACTATTCTACTGTCTGTCTTTATGACTTTGCCTATGCTAGGTACCTCATATACCTAGAATCATGTATTTGTCCTTTTGTGACTACTTATTTCACTTAGCAGGTTTTCAAGGTTCACCTACGTTATAGCACGTATCAAAATACCATTTCTTTTTAAGGCTGAATAATATTCCATTGTATGTATATACCACATTTTGTTTTCCCTTAATTGAACGGTGGGCATTTGGGTTGTCTCCATCTTTCTGCTATTGTGAATAATGCTGCTATCAACACTGGTGTACAAGTATCTGCTTGAGTCCCTGCTTTAATTTTTTTGCATTTATACCCAGAAGTAGACTTGCTAGATCATATGGAAATTCTGTTTAACTTCTTGAGGGACCGCCAAACTGATTCCACAGCTGCTGTACCATTTTATATTTCCATCAGCAGCGCACAAGGTTCCAATTTTTCCACATCATCACCTACATTTATTTTCCATTTTTTCAGTAATAGCCATTTTAATGGCTGTTAAAATGGTACCTCTTTGAATCAGATTTGCTTGGTAGGCTACGTTTAAAAAAACCATATAAAGAGCTGTTATTACACAGCTGTCTTTATCCCCCCTATAAATAGCTACAAACATCCTGCTCAAGTTCGAAAGTAGAAGGTAAACTACGGTTGGTTCTATGTTCAATTTTAAACATACGAACACCAATGCTTTTCCAAACAAATGGCAATCTTGAGTTGAGGGTTTCAGTTAAAAAAAAATCATACAGTGAATAAAGAGTTCCTCGGCCTTAGAGAAGCCAGTTACCTGCGTAATCCCATTCTTCACAAAAACAAACTCAAAGTACAGCTAGAAACGCTTCAGACTTCCCCCTAGTCGGGACAGCGCCAGGCGCGCTGCGCATGCGCCACTTGAGGCGCGCCCCTGCGGGCAAACGTGCGCCGTCACGCAGGACGGCGGAGGGGCGGGGCCTGCCAAACGCACATGGGGCGGCAGCAATGGCTGCTGCGTCGGGATCAGTTTCCCTGCAGCGGTGCATGGTGTTGCCGGCTGGGAGGCACAGCGCCTCTCTGATTTTCCTGCACGGCTCAGGTGGATTCCAGTTTTACGTCCTTGTTTTCTGCAGCCTGGGGCACATACTCCCCTCGGGCGCCCCACGGTTGCCCCAGTGGAGGAGGCCTGGGACCCTAATAGGGCCCGCTGATCTCGGAGAGGGTGGCTCTCTCCTCGGTAGCCCCGCGGCTGTGGACCCACAGGCAGCTTGGTAAACTGTCCCCAGCCGTCCCCCCACCCCCTCTGTCTTCCTTTTTTCTATCTTGCGATCACTTAGCCCACCGTCCTCGCTTCCTGCCTGTGTGGCCCCGCGGTGCGGCCAGCCCTCCTCCTCCATCCATAACATTCCCTCCAGGGCAACCCTTGCTATTCCCCATCCCCCGCCCCCAAGTTTACACAGAGCGAGGTAGTCAGGTAAGTCCTCGACGAGAAACAAATGATTCAGCACGTTTCAGGGGCAGCTATTGGCGATTTGAGTTTTCAACCGCGTTGGATGACTTGCCATTTCTTTCTGCAGTCTCCCACACGAAAATAGGCAATTGAGGTTCGCAGGTAAATAATAACCGTCGAGTCTTCTCTTTTCTAGGAGGCATTGTGCCAGGGCTTTCGTGCCTTTGCCTCTTTCCTGCGTCCCCTTTCTTTCCCCTCCCCTCCCCCCTTCCTGTCATTAAGCACCCCAAGGTATAGCACAAAGCCAAGTCTTGAGTCGCCAGCAGGCACTCTCCTTCCACTCACCTGCCCTTGGTAACCTGGACATAATTCTCAAAAGCGTTTCTTAAAACTCATCTGTAACGACTTATGTCTGCCTTCCCCCACTGGATCTTGAGCTCCTGGGGAGTAAGGACCTTTGTTTTCATCTTTGCATCCCTAGTGCTTGCCCCAGGGTTAAGGTCTTAGGAGATGTTTTTTTAAAGAAATGAGGTGCAGCCAGTGTCCTCAGGGGGCCTACCTAAAGTTAAAAAACAATTCGATTAGTTTTGAGTCCGCAGTGGATGGGAGATCACAAGATGGTGCGCGATTTACTGCCGGGTGAATTGTGAGGTGGGGAAAAACTGGTTAGGCATATTAAGGCCTTTGGAAGAGGAAGAGCTAGTCAGATTTAGCAGAGAACGGGCGGTCTTGGAGCTGAGACATGTATGTAGGTTTAAAGAAGATGATGGGGATTGGAACAGGGGTGGAGGCCTGGCCGTGGGCAGTTGTGGGCAGTATTGTCATTTTGGAAATGAGTCTTTGTAGGTTGAACAGCTTGCCCAGGCTCACTTGGCTGTTCCTGTAAGTGGTGGTGGGTTTGGGACTTGAACCCAGATCTCACTCCAACCTCAGTGCTCCGGAGGGATAAGGTGCAAAAATTCTAAACTAGGATGTATCATTTTGGAAATAGGGAGGAAAGTTGCCAACAATGTTTAAAAGGAAAGACTTGTCTGATGAAATAAATATATTTAGCAGGTGAGCTGTCTAAGATAATAACTGCAAAGCTGTACAACTAGACGACCATTACTAATACTATTCGTGGCTCAAAGGTCTTTCGTTCATTTATAAGCACCCAGAAATTCCCTAATCCCATACTCCTTTTAATAAGTAAGTTAATTATTTTACAATATTTTCAGGAACTACTCCTAGACTTTTTTTTCCCCTGGACCCCTTTGCTTAAAGTAACTTCTTACTCTTTTCAATTTCAAATTATGACATTTTTATAACCTGTAACTGTATATCTCAAACTGAGTTGTACATTGCACACGTGTGTGTGTATATATATATATATATATATATATTTTCCCCTTTGTACTTTGAACAAAGAATTCTGCCAATTATACAAGTATAATGCAATTTCTATATATTTAGATCTCCATTTTAGGAAATAAAATTCTTACTAGGAATGACTTTACATTAGACTTTAATATATGTAGTTGGATTATAGATGTATGGCCTCTAGTTCATCCAAATATGGGCAAACCAATTTTAATAGTTTTACCATACTCTTGGAATAAGGTGCCGGCTTTTTAAAAGGGGTACGTAGAGACTAGAGGGATGGCTGTCTTGTCGCATTCAGCTTTGCTTTTGAAGGCTGAAAAAGAGTGTTTAGAGGCAGATTTTGTATTGTTTTTTTTTAATCTTAAAACCTGACATTCTCTTCTAGAATATGTACGGCAGTCATAGGAGAACAAATGGGAATGGAAGTTATATATAGCCAACTTAATCTGAGCCTTTCCTACTACTAAAATACCAAAGAAGTACCTTTTTTTCAGGACGATAAAAACAAATGATAGTTTAATTAGCTTTGTTCAGCTTCCCAGATAAGATTAATATACTCTGTTATATATTTCCTTAGGACGCGATGGTTCTCATTTCAGTAGTATTCATCATATTTGTAATTACCTAATTAAATGTCTAATCCACACCAAGCGTGTAAGGTTCACACAGGCCCAAACTACGCATGTCTTTCTCCCTATATAGGCAGTGTCGGCAAACGGAGTCAGTGAGCTCCTAAAGTTACCAGCAACATCTGTATTGCTGAATGTAATGGACTTTTTTTTAGTCTTCCTCTCATTTGAACTGTGTCAGCAGCATTCAGCTTTCTTGAAACACTCTCCCAGTTTTTTCTACCCCTATTTGCTCTTTCTGGTTTGTTCTACAGACTCATCCTCCTCTTATCTGGCCATTAATGTTGCGGTTCCTCAAAATGTGGTCCTAGGTCCTCTTCTCTTATAGTCCTACATTTTCCTTCCTGGGCTATAAGCCCACGGATTCTATTTTTACCTATATACCGGTGACACAAAGGTGTGTCTCCATTTTAGGTCTCCTTCGAGCTCCAGACATGTTTATCCAACTGCATAGTAATCACTCATTCATTAATCCATTCATTCAAGAAATATCCATGACATGGCCACTCCGCGTACCAGGCAGTGTTCCGGCTTCTGGGCATACAGTGAACGGGGCAAACAAAAGCCTTTTCTCTGGTAGAGTTTATGATCTAGTGGAGCAAATATATAGCAGAAGATAGTAAGTTCTATCAAAGAAAGCAGGATAAGGAGGATGGGAGATGTGGGGGTTACAGTTTTAAATAAGGTGATCAGAGTAGCCTCACTGTGAAGGTGACAGTTCAGCAGCTGGGTTTAATGAGTGAATCGTGTGCATTGGGTTAGACTGTTACAGACAAGAGAAAAGCCAGGACAGAGGCCCAAGTAGGTCCCTGACATGTTCAAGAAACAGCAGTAAGGCTAGTGTTCCTGGAGTGAGGAGCCGGAGAGCATATCTGAGAGGGTCCTGGCATTCAGGCAGTGTGGGGCAGGGATTGGCACGCTTTTTCTGTAAAGGGTCAGACAGTAACCATTTTCGGTTTTGTGGGTCACAGAAAAATCTCTCGCATAGCTTTCTTTGTCCTTCCCTTTCCCTTTTCTCCATTCGGTCGTTTAGTTTTTTAAATGACTTTTAAAAAGTAAAAGCCATTCTTAGCGTATGACCCTTAAGGACCTGGATTTGGTCCCCCAGCTGGCTGTAGTTTGTTCAACCCCAGCTATAGGACCCTGGGTGCCTCCCAGAGAGATGCCTGACCCTTAGCGTGGATGGGCCGTATGCTGCGTGGCGTCCTGTCTTTGTGTACATACAGTATTATTGGGTTGTCAGGAAAAGTCATGACGTACTTTTTCTATGTTTTTTGTTGCAAAAATGCGTCATGACTTTTCCGACAGCCCAATGTTATTCACCCAGTTGTCCTGGCCAAACGCCTCGCCATCATCCTTCAAAGCTTTCGCCATTGACCCCTCCTAACTAATCTATTGCTAATTCCTGTTAATTTTGTCCTAAATACCTCTAGTACGTATTTCTGTCTACTCCACTGCCATTACTGTTGTCTACTGTCTGTCACTTGAACAGCAGCCTCCTAACTGATCCCCATCTTTTGTCCTTCGGCTCTGCCTCCACACAGCTTTCAGAGCGACCCTTAGAAGCATACCACCTTTCTGCCCCAAAAATACCCCTACAGCTTCTCCGTGCTCTTGGCATTTGTCAGCTCCCCACAATTTCTCTCGCTTCATTGTTTTCTTACAACAGTTTTCTCATAACAGTTTTCTTATTACAGTTTTCTTATAGCATAAGGATACACATTAGAACCAGCCCAAAGAGGAGACACAGAGGGGAAAGCCAGGAAGGGTTCTAAACCTGACTTCTGTCATCCTCAGTGATGCATCACCCCCCGGGTACTGAGGTATGACAGCACTCAAAACAATATTGTCCAGCAGGGACTTTCACCCGAGCTTCCTACCCAGAGTTTTTACTTGGGTTTTGTTACGTAGATATGATTGATTTGGGGTTGAACTCAATCTCCAGCCTCCCCCACTCCCCAGAGGTCAGACTGGTAAATCATTGTTCAAAGCTCCAATCTTCGAATCACATGATTGAAATTTCTGGCTGGCCCGCTCCTATCCTGAGTCATCTCAGCAGAAACTGTCCTGCGGTTTGAGGGCCCTTCCATGAATAACAAAGACATTTCAATCACTGTGGAAATTCTGAAGATTTACAGGTTCCCTCTTTCTTAGGAACTGGGGACAAAGCGGAGCCAAACTGTTGATTGCAGTTATTTTTAAAGGAGTGTCTGTAAGCTCATCTTGCATTCATTCACTGTTCGTCCTTTCCTTTTCTTAGAGGTCATACTGCTCTGTCCCGTAAAGGGTTTTGAGTGTTTGTCTTGTGCTATCTGAGAGGCTCTTTCCTCTGCACTTCACTTTTCACCATCCTGTAGAGTTCAGTTCAAACCATTCAGCACCTACCTACTGGATGCCTGGTTTGTGTCAGTCCTGTTCTAAGGTGCATGACACCGTAGCTCAGTGGGTAAAACACAAAATGAACCTTGGCCATGCCGAGCTTATCTCCTCGTGACGTTATCCCTGAACTCCTTACCTGGGTCAGTTCTGAATACGCTAAGCCTATGCAGCACCCCCTGTCTCATCTGTGCAGTGGTCATATTTGTCTTTCCATTTAGGTAGACGATGATTTGACCGAGGTCTGAGTCTTGCCATAAACTGTATACTCCATGAGAGTAGGAATTCTTCCACCCCCTCCCCTGCCACCACTGCCTCTAGCAGTGCCTGACACATTAATAGATATTCAGTAGATATTTTTTAAATTGATGTCTTAATGAATTGGTTGATTAAAAAAATGAAAGTCGTTACCTTTAAATTTTCTTCTTCAGCTCTATATAAACTGGACCTATATTTCCTTACTGCCCCCCCCCCTTTTTTTTTTAATGGAAGTACTCAGACATGAATTCTTACATGAATTTTGGTTGTTTTTCAACCTTGGAATATATAATCTCTATTTTAGGTCATGTAAAAATGTTATCAAAATTAAATTCTAATTTCTTCAAGTTAAAAATAAAAGTATGCTGAATACCCCTTTTGAAGGATTTTATTATTTTAACCAAGAAAATTGTTTTAGGCTGTTCCAACTCGAAAAGTTTATAAGCACTTTAGGAATTTACTGTTTTTAAGAATCAAGATAAGAAATGACAGTGTTTCAAGTTAGAGAAAAATAGAACTTTTTACTTAGAAAAATTGATTTACTTCATTTGTTCCTATTATACCCTTTAAACAAATGAGGAAACTTAAAACTCAAGCTTAAACAGGTCTTTTAAAGTGATCAGTGGTGAAGTTAGGAGTAAAATAATTAAAATTATTCTGACCTATTGATGCCCAGTCAATTACTTCATATTGATAAATCAGTTTCTGTGTAGTTATTATGTATACTTTTTATTCTTTGTTCCATCCTCTATGTGACGTGAAACATAGACTGCTTTTAAATACACTGTATTGTCAGACTGTTTTGTCTTAATCTCGATTTTGTGATCATCAGGTGATTCTGGAAAAGGATTGCGAAGGTGGATCAAGGGGGTTTTAAATCAAGATTTAGCATTCCAGCACATAAAAATTATTTACCCAACAGCTCCTCCCAGGTACGTAGTTGATGTCACTGCTCAGTATAACTTTGTGGCCTAAAACGTATATAAACAGGGGTACCAGCTGGATGTCCTTTAAGCATAATACTGTATTTAAAATATTTTAAATTGGGCTACTTTATTTCCAGAATTGTGTGTGTGTGTGTGTGGGGGGGAGCAGCGCATTTACACTGTGGGGCCAGGTTTTGCCAGGTAAGTAAGTAATTTGCTCTCTGTAATGAAGTATTCCTTGGCACTCGTAACTTCAACTCTGTCCCAGGCACAGCCTACAGGGCTCTGCTTCCTCTGGCCTACAGGTTGCTCCTCTTTCAAACTCTCTTTTCCCCCCTCATTCATCCCCAAAACAAAATATTAATTCCAGTGAGCATCATCTTTTTAATAATTTTTAGCCCAGAGCTTATCACCTCTGGAATAGAGATCTGTAGCATTCTTTCTCCACTTAAAAGGTTTCAGAAATAAGGTGAAGCTTTTTAAATAAGTAAACAAGAATAGAAATACGCAATTGACTAATACATATTTCGATCATCTGACCTGTAGATGCACAGTGATGTGTTTCACATGGTTTTGAAGTCAAACTGGTTTTTTTTAAGTTATTAAATTAGCATCTGCATAGTCTCTTATTCTGAACGCATGCTTTAAACTGGGGTATGCAAATCCTTTTTTGTGTAAGCGAAATTGTGCTGAGTTATGCTACCCCATCTGACTTCTCATTATCTGTTCTTGATTTATTTTTGTTAAGCACACTGTGTGTTTATGCAAATGCTTTGCTTTACTTTTCTATTAACTTAGCATTAAGGAAAAGTATTTATATATCCAAAATATTATTTCAACATGTAATCAAATAAACTTATTAAAGTGATATTTTATATTCTTTTGTTCATTCCAAATCCTTGAAATCTGGTGTGTATTTTACATGTGCAGCACATGTCAATTTGGATGCTAATTATTAATTTAAATTTCAGTTCCTCAGTTGTACTAGCTACATTTTTAATTGCTCTATAGCTGTATGTGGGTAACTAGGGACAGCATAGTTCTGGCCTTAAAAAGGAGTTCCCATTAGACTATATGGTACGTTGGGGGCCACTGTGCTAGGTCAAATCATCAGTTTTACTTAAATTCCTCATGAGCTGTAGTTCTTGAACCTGTAAGATTTTTTTCTTTCTTTTTTTTTTTTAATGCGATGACTTAAATCATTCCTTCTCAAGTAGGGATGATTGTCTCTCAGGGAGCACTCAGCCATGTTGGGAGACGTTTTTTGGTGTCACCGCTAGGAGGAAAGACAACATAGAAAGCTACTGGCCTCTAGTGGATGGAGGCCAGCGATGCGCTAAACATCCCACCCATCACAGGACAGCCTCCATCCACTACAGAAAGCCATCCAGGCCCAAATCTCAGTGGTGCCTCGGATGAGAAACCCTGCTGTAAATTCCACCTCTATCTCTCATATACTAGATGATTAGTCTCGTTTCTGCTTTAGGGGAAAAAAATATGTTGCAGTGTGGTCAGCTGTTTGTATTTTAGGAAAACATCCGAGGTAATTAAAGTATGAATGGCATTATTGTCTTTGAATCAATACAAAAAAAAAAAAATGTCGAGATTTCACCTAAGAACAGGTCTTTATGTACGAGGCTTCCTTTATTTTTAGATTTGATTTCTAGGTCAGAAACATTAAACACAAAATTCCTTTTTCCTTCAAAAGCCTTTCTCGTCTCAAATTTACTCTTTTGAACATGAAGTTGTAAAATTTTGCTTTCCTGTTTTCTCTGGTTCTAAGATCCCTAAAATGAAGACATAAAGACCTCACAATTCAGTGCAATTTGCAGTTTCCTATTCTGGAACTCAAGAGCTTTTCAAAAATATTCAGAAAAAGTGTGTGTGTGTGTGTGTATACATATATGTTTTTACTATAAATAGGATCTATCTATGTTGTGGAATATTATATTTCAGGCCCTAATCCTTGATCAGGCCCCATAAAATAAAACAGTGAAATAAAATATATGTAATTAAGGATAATAATGCCAGTTAGTTTGCTACTAATATACAAATCAAGTAAGTTTGCAAAATATGCTTATTGCTTTCAAATATAAACACCAGAACCCTTAACTGACCTGGCAAAGTATATTGTGTTAAATATTCAGCAAATTTTACACTCTGTGTGTGGCTCTGCTGTATTTCATGGGTCCTTTTCCATATTGGAAATCAAATGTCATCGACCAAGGACTACCAATGGCTGCGAATCTTTGACTTAGGATTTTCCAAATGTTGACAGGGATCTTATGAACTGTATAACCAGCAAGACTGAGTTCATGTTTTATCATATTAGAAAATGTATTTCAGCATTACTGTGAAATCATTTTTCTTTTGTTTTATGAGACGTGCAGACATCACCAAGTTTTAATCCCAGATGTCGCATACTCTCAGAGCAGTTAGAAACGTTTAATATATAATTTAAAAATACAAGATCTAAAATATTTTAATTTTTAAATATGAATCACATCTCTATTGACAAAAGGTTTTATAGTCTTAGTTCATCTTACATCTCATTGCTGTCAAAGATAATCTGTACAATTTCAGTCTTGATACTGACAATATGATGGTCTTGCATATGGTCTGTCTTGGTGACGATACTATGTGCATTTTTGTATATAGAATTCTATAAATGTCAATACTTGAAGGTGGTTATAGTATTGCTCAAATTTTATATTTGTGTAGTCATTCTTTTTCTAAATTGTTTTATTAGGTCCTGAAGAATGGGTATTAAAATCTCCAACTGTGATTATAGATTAGTCTGTTTCTTCCTTTAGTTCTGTCAGTTTTCTCTGCATGTGTTTTTAAGTGATATTATTAGGTACACGCCTGTGTGGGATTATTGTCTTCCTCATTAATAGCTACTTTTATCTTATAAAGTGTCCATTTTTATTTCTGGTAATACCGTGAAGTATACTTTGTTTAATAATAATATAGTATATATCAACTTTCCTATGTTTACTGTTTATATAGCACCTTTTTTCATCCTTTGGATTTCTTTTGATTAGTGTTGCATCGTAAGTCTTTTTCCATCTTTTTACTTTTAATCTATTTATATCATTATATTTTAGTGGGATTTTCTAAAATACGTGTATTTGGACTTTATAATCTGATAGTCTCTGTCTTTTAAGTAATTTGTTTAGACCATTTGCATTTAATGTAACAATTAATATGTTTGAATTTAAGTCTAGTACTTTTTTTCCTCTTTTTCTGTCCCATCTTCTGTTTGGATTATTTTAATTTTTTTAATACTCCATTTTCATTTATCTATTCTTATTTTTTTCCTGATTGCTTTAGGGATTACAAGATATGTATCAAACTTTTCATCTATTTAGGTTGTTTTGTTGTTGTTGTTGTTTTTACCACTTAACACGAAATATAGAAGGTTACAACCATTCAGGTTCCTTTATACTCCCCTCTTTATGTTATATTTGTCATATATATGTCATCTACATACATTGAAAACTATCAAACAAGGTTATGATTTTTGCTTTCAACAGTCATACATATTTGAAAGAATTTAAGAGGAGAAAGTAGTCTATTATATTTACCCAGTTGTGGTCTGTTACAGCCTATCAGTACATTTTGATTAAATTGTAAGTTGCCACTTTTGGCAATAAGGTATTCCTTTTCCTCAACCCTATTTAATAGATGTTTTTAATCAATTCAGTTAGGGACATATTAAATGAAAGTTAGCAATTAGCTTGCTGTGTTGATTTAAATGGAAAATGTTGCTTCATTTTTTTCATTATGTTAATTTAGACTATTTAACCAAAGTGCTCAATAAAGATTTTTATTTCTATGACATACTTTAATTGTATTTGTAATTAGAGGTTTTGTTGGTTTGAGTTTACTATTAGAATTTCCATTTTAAAAATAATAACAATTTTTAACAAGCCATTAATAATTTATATGATGATACATAGTTTCTCTTGGTGTTTCAAAAAATTCTAAAAGTAGTAAAATTTGCATAGTGTCTCTACTTTTTGATTCCCTACTTTTTTCACACAAAGTGCATGCTCATATTTTTCATTAAACATGTATTCCAAAACGGGGTCAGGCACTTTTGATTTAGGTGCAGTAAACAATGAATTCATCTTGATTCTATCACTTAAGATTTCTGTCTGGAGCGTGTTATTAGGGATCTCTTTCCTGATACCAGTAGATCTGTACTTATAAGTTGACTTCACCAGTAAGGAACCCTGCTAAAAACAGCTATTTTGAAGAAATAGATTTACTTTTTTGTTAAGTATTTTAAATAGCGCATTTAAATACCTATTAGTACATAAAAACTTGTTTTCTTAGAAACGAGCTTTTTTCCAAAAGCAACAAAAGAAAAAATTGACCTTTTCCTAGAAATCATAATATGGGTTTTAGAAGAATTAAAGTCAAAAGGTATTCAGAGCAAAATAAAACAATGTTACATATTCTCTTATTGCTATCTGATACAGTTATCCAAGACAAAAGTGATTATTGATATTCATCATTCAACAAATACTTGTTCTTGACACTGGAGGTAGAAAAGGTAAAGTCCCCACTCTCAGGGAGCTCACACAGAAATGGGGGAAAAAAAGAGAGAAAGAGAGAAATTAAATATATTAACTTCAAATAGTGATAAATTCTGTTAAGACAATTTAAGTAGGATAATGAGATAGGGAGAAAATGGGTGTGCATTGTAAGGTTAAAGGGAGGTATACTCTAAATTGTAGGATCAAAGAAGGTTCCCCTGCAGAAGTGACATTTGAGCTGAGACCTCAGTGATCAGTGGGAGCCCACTACATGTCAGTGTGACAAAGAGCCTTCCAGGTAGAGGGAATATCAAATGCAAGGCTCTTGGATCGATAGTGAGACTGTCCTGGTTGAAGAAAACCAAGAGGGCAATGTGATGTGAACACTGTGGGGACCACAATGAAATGAGGACAGAAAGGAAGACTGGAGCCAGATGATGTTATCTTAAAGTTTATGAGTGACCTTTTGATTTTATGACTTTTAGGGAACACAGATCAAAACAGGACGTGGTATTAACCTTGCCCATTTTACTCCAGCTTAATATTTTGCCAGTGTGTAATGGTTTGATTGATTGATTGATTTAGGAAGCACATAGGTGTTCTCTGCCAAACATATTTATTTGTTGTGGTAATGTCTGAGCTGTTTTATACCAGCTAATAAAGTGATTTATTTGAGGAAGAAGGGAATGAGTATAACATATGTACCAGTTTGTTAGCCGTTTTAAAAAACCCTCTTTTATGCTTTATCTAACCGTTATTCTAACAGCTTGAGAGAGTTGCACATTCTCAGTTATGTGTTCTTAACAGAAGCATTCTAAATTACTCTTTGCCTCATTAAAATTTCCCAATTATTTCCTTTGAACAGAATTTTAATTTTTCTTAGAGAACAGAGAACAAAAAGCTACTATATTAGTAAAACTTACATTGGAATTCCATCTATCGCTAATTAAGTAAGGCACTGACGAAAAGTTAAGTGAATGTCATTTTTTTTCTATTAATGGCTGAGTTCCCAGAGTGATTCATATCTTAGCCTATGATATCATCCTTATTTAAGTGCTTAGACAGACAAATAAACACTTAGAGAAATAGCAGAATAAAATGAAAAGGGAAGTAGAAATAATTCAAGATCGTAACAGTCGAATTCAGCTTTAAAGTGAGTGGTGTGTTCAGCGTTCATTCAGAAGATCACTGTGGTTTCAGTGACAAATTGAATAGCGTTTGGAATTTCATTTCGCCCGACAGTGACATTAATACGAGGCGGAAAGCACCTGCTTTTATTTTCAGAGAACTTGAGGAAAATTAATCCTGAGAAAGGCATTCTGGGAGGCGAGAGCCTTGAATGCTTTGTCTTCTCGCCTCTTCTGATTTTAATTTATCTACCCCTCTTGAGCAAAGCAGCTTCTGAGGTCAGAAGGCCTACAGAAACGAGGGAGAATTTAGGCTCAGGAAGAACTCACGCTCCGTAGGAGTCCTCATAAAGAGCTGGCGCAGGATTTTATCCTCTGTGCACCCATTGCGAGCCTCTGGAACAAGGCAGGCAAAGTCTGAGATGAGGATGAGAGTGTGGCAGATCCTGGGAAGAGCTCAGAGTGCAGAAATCTCCCCTCGTCTCATTTATGTCATGAAAGGTACATTTCCAGACAATAATGCAACATTCATTAAAATCCCACAAGGATTTTTAAGGAGAAGTATTTGAAATTCTTTTCAAATTCACTGACTATTTGATCAGTTTCGTAGCTAGATAAAGAATGGATGTCTGAGAACAGGCAGGACAACCCTGAGAAGGAAACTGGTGATGATGATGGAAGGTAGCGGGGGACGGCAGTGCCCAACTTGAGAACATTCTTGAAAACCACTGTGATACCATCAATATGAACCTAACAGTATAGTTAAATGGATCAGAACAACAACAACAAAGAGAGAGCCTTTCTCTACTGGTGCTCACCTGAACCACAGAATACACAAAAAAATGGTTTGAGTAACTATTTTCTTGATTTTCCCAGAATAGGATAGAATTCGTATGATTCTAGATGCATTGGAGAGAAATCTATTCATCATGTATACGGAGGGTGCCCAAAAAATGTATACACATTTTAAGAAAGGGAAAAACCTGTATTAAAATTACGCTGATGGTAACCACTTTGAGCACCTCTTGTAATTGCAAAAGTCAAACGTGACTTGTATTCATCTTTTGTTATCAGTATATACTGTTACAATTTTAATGCAGCTTTTTTCTTTCTTAAAATGTGTATACACTTTTTTGGTACCTTCTATCATGTAGGTATTAGACATTAGGGCATACTTCCCTCACAGAACCTAGGTTGAGAGAGACTAGATAACTCAGAACTATAAAACTAAATATATGGACAAGATGGAATTTTGCCTTTGTGAGAGAAGGTAAGTTTGGATTTTTTATTTAATGGTAGTACAGACACAATTGACTCCCCACATGAAAGAAGATTAATTTGAACACTTCGGTCACTTCGCATACAAAACAATTCCAGAAAAACTCAAGACTTACATGTAAAAACAGAAAGAACACTCTTAGAATAAAATTTTGGATTCCACAAGTTAAAATACATGGATTGGGAAGAGCTTTTCAAACAAATCAGGAGACACAGAAATTTTTTTTTAAGCCAGGTTATATCAAATGTAGTCTTTTATCTGATTAAAAAAATACCTTAAATACATAATATCAACATATAAAAATAGATTTTAAAAAGTATTTAAAATGCAAATGACAAATATTTAAGTGTCAATAATAAAGTGCTCTTCTAAACTAATAAAAAAATCAACACCACAATAGAAAAAAATAGCAAATGATATGAACAGGTCTTTCATTTGTGTGGACTTCTAGAACGGGCAGCATGCATCTGTAGTGATGACATGGCTCAGTGGTTACCTGGGAAGTGAACGGGAATTCTCGGTATGAAGGAATTTCCTGAGGTAGAAGGAACGTTCTGTGTCGTTGTGGATATGGTGGTTACACTGTCAAGTCTTTGAACTTAAAATGTGTACTTTTATATATGTAAATTCCTCAGTAAAGTTGATTTTAAAATTATAGTTAATACCCTGACATGGTCATATTTTTAAGGATATAGGTACCTATTGCTATTAGGGCTGTGGGCAAAAGGATGTTCTCTTAATTTTCTTGGAGAAGTGTTAATTTTTATAGCCTTTATGGAAGTGACTTTAAAACATCTACTAAGATAAAAACTGTATCTTTCAATCCACCGGTCCTAGTTGTGGACTGTGCTTCACAGGAATAAAAAGTTCCAGTAGGTAAAAATATGTATACAAATAATGTTTACAGCAGCATTTTAGTGGCTGAAAACTGAGTACCAAATAAGTGCCCATTAGTAGGGGAATGGCTGACTAAACTAGAACATCTTTATCATAAGATTATATAGCCATTTAAAAGGGTGGGCTAAAACGAAATCAGATGGAAGGATTTCCATGAGGTATTGTTAAAGGACAAAAGGCACAAAAGCAGAGCAAATAGGCTGTTTGATTTTTGAAAAGCAATAGTGCCCTAAAAAAATATCCAGTAAAGATGGAGGTTTTATTGTGTGTACAAGAAAAACATTCAAGAGTGTATTTTAGATCATAAAAATGGTTTACCTAGTGTGAGGGACGAGATGGGGGTGGGATAAGAGTTTTGAGGAGGAATGGTACAAAAAATAAATAAGATTTAGATGAAAAACATCAAAACAACACACACGCATATATACAATTTCCCATATTTGCAAAATATCATGTATCTTCATAAACTAGGAACAAATTAAGTTTTTATGTACTGTCTTATGGGGATATTCAAAATATACATTCAAATTTTAGAAAGCATGTTGCAAAGTAATGTTTATCACATGGTTCTATTTTAGTAAATAAACAAAAGATTCTCTGTACATGAGTTCTTGTTTCCAGATTTCTTTCAGTTTCCCTAAGAAACTTTCCAAGTATAAACCTCTTGATTTCCTGGCTCCTAAAGCGGGTGCCCATTTTATTTTGGTGTGCTGTGATCAATTTAGAAAAATTAGGGTGTAATTCTGTTCCCTTCAATACCCCCATTGGTCCCAAAGATTGGATGCTTCCCAAGGGCATATCTTCACAGATTGTGGGGTCCTTTTGATGCAGTGGATAATGTTAACGAAATCAATATAAGTATACATGAGTTAATACAATATGCATGGGGATGCTTTTAATATGAAATTTTTAAGACAAAACTTGGAGGAAATGAAAATTATTCAAAACACTAATGTTTTAGAAATTAAAACATCCATTTTAATGTAATTCCATTTATTTATTTATTTATTTATTTGCTTTTAAACAGGCCATATACTCCTCTGAAAGGTAGACTCTCCAACGTATGGTTTGACAGATTTAAAATATCTAATGACTGCCCAGAACACCTTGAATCAATTGATGGGATGTGTCAAGTGCTTACAGATTTGATGGATGACGAAGTAAAAAATGGCATCAAGAAGAATAGGATATTAATAGGTAAGACCTTTAAATGTTGGTAATATAATTTTTTTTCACTGTTGTTTGAGTCTATGCATAACACTTTACTTGGAATATTATTTAGAAGCACTTGTCTACCTTTTGACCTGTTTATAGTTTCAAATAAGCTTTACGTATTAAGGGATTCAAAAATATTAGAATTATAAAACAGCAGCTCATGAAACTAATTCACTTTCTTTTAATAATAATATAATTTGAGAATCTCATGTTTAATTTTCAATTAAGAGAGCTTTCAGTTTTAAAACAATGTAAATTGGCTTAAGTTTTATAAATATGTTTAAACTACTATGGCTATGATGTTAAAATATAACATCAAATTCATGAACAGTAAACACTTTAGAGGTACTATCACAGGAAAAAGGTACTTTTTATAAACTTTTGTTCAACATCTTTAGCAATCTCTGTTTCCAAGGGGATATAATGTGCTTTTATATAAGCTCTTTATTCCACTAAATACCATTTAATGTAATCATCAAATATATAAACTATAAAATCTCTATTTCTATAATACATACAAAGTGAGATTGGCTGTTTAGAATGTGACTGGCACAGACCGTATTTTGGTGAAAGAGTTTCATTTTTAAATATAACTGTTTATAATGAGTTTTATTTAACAATGAAATTATAAAGCAAAGTATCTCATGTTCAAAATAATACTAAGATGCACATTGAAATCCTTTGTAGACAGAATTTGGGTAAACTGATTAGCTTCCTTTGTGTTTTATTCAAGTATTGAGCTCAGAGGCAACCCGTTATGATGGACGCTGGCCTGCCTTGCCTTCAGCCTCCACTTCTGTTAGTGAAAAGTAGTGTGCCCTCCAGCCCAGTGAGATCCCTTTTCTGGACCCCTGTTTCCTCATCCATGTTTAGCTGTTTCTATGCACGACGTTCAACAACTCTGTTTAACTCTAATGGAGATAAATATAGGACGTTATGGGGGTCTGGGAAAAGGGCCCCAGGAAGAGCACCCAACTCAGCCTAGGGGATCATGCAACATAACAACAAGATTGAATTCAAAACGCATGAATGCATGACTGAGTCCGCCATTCAGCCATTTACCAAATACTCTCTACGTTCTTCCTGTGTGACAGGCAATATCATATATGCTCAATGGGGCACACAGCTAAATATTCATAAAACAGGATCTGCCTGATGACTGCTTACAACCTGGAAGAGCCCATGAGGTGCTTTACAGTGATAGCTGTGTCAGTGCCAGTGAGCCAGGGATGAGCATCCTCAAGCTCTGTAACGGACAGCTCTTCAAGAGATGATCGTGTGTACTTATTACTCTTTCCCAGGACCCATCACAACTCCTGGCACAGAGCCAGTGCTTAGGAAATTTATAATGAAGGGCACCACCTGATCAGTGAATTGATGGTTTAAGTAACTTAAGTACCGCAGGAATTTAGATGAAGACAAGATTATATGTGTTTGAGGCCATTAGAGAAGGGTTTAATAGGAAGGTGGCAGGGGCATTTGAGACTCTGAGGTGCGCGGATAAAGTTTTAACTATTGTAGTACAGAGGTCTAGGCATAGAGAGTGATATGAACAGTATATAGAAGTGGAAAGAGTAGAGCTTGTTGTTTCAGTCTTTCTGGACATTAGATGTAGTTTTAGCAGAAAGTTGGTGGTCTGGACGGAAAATGCCTTGTTGACTCACAGCTGGACTAAGAGGCTGGAGCACACAATGGTACAGAGACAAAAATGGGTTCAGTGTCAAGTCTACCAGTGCCTAGCTGGTTCACCACTCAGTTACCGCAAGGAATTTCTGCTGCCTTATCTGTAAAGTGGGAATAATAACACATTATTTTTACTGGCGGATGATGTTGTAAAATACTTGGTTCATTCTAGGCTCTCAATAAATTCTGTCTGGGTTCCCTTTTATCCTTCATTCTATAGGTAATTAGTGAGGGATGATTAAAGAAAGCCTTCGAGTCGTATAGTTAATTAGAACTGTGCTTTAGGAAAATTATTCTGGCAGAAGGGGTAAGTGAAGAGATGTGAAGTTGGATGTGGAAAAACCAGTTACTGAATTTGTCATTATAAGGTAATGAGATCCTGAAGTAATGTGATGAGTGGGAAAAGAAAAGATTAGGAAAAGAAATTGCTTTAACATAAAACTACAAAATCTTCATTCGTAAAAAAGGTAGAAAGTATTCTAATTAGGTCTCTTAATTGACACATGTTAAAGAATTTATCACATTGAGTTGTAATGCTGTCTACTTGTGCCTCCTTCCATCCCCACTCACCACCCTTCCCCACAGCCATCAGTTACTTCATCTTGTTTATCTTTGAAAAGAAACTATGGATTGTTGTAAAGTCAGAGAACTAATGAGAATTTTGAATCTAGGTTTTTCTTCATTTCAAAGCCCGTGGTTCTTCCATTTAACTGAACATTTTTAAGACTCTTAATACATATTGTCAACTTGCTTTCACGAAAAAATTATACCAGTTGATACTTCTGCCACCTATATGAGAACGTTCATATAGGTGGATATCCTCACTGAATACATATTGACATGAAAAATCTTTGTTAAAAATAAGTAAGCAAAAAGTTGGAATTAATCTGCACATAATTTGTTACTTTCCTTCCAATTTTGTTGGTTGTATTTTGACACAAGAAAGCATTTTTTAGTTGTCCATTAATCCTTCCTGATTTTTTTTCAAATAATTTCTCAGCTTAAGAAAGGCTTTCTCTAGAACTTAGATAAATATTCAAATAGATTTTTCTACTGGTTTTCTATAATGTCATTTATTTATTCACTTATTTTACATTTAGTCTTTGCTTCACCTGGAATTTATTTTCTTTTTTTTCTACCATATCATGAGAAGTTTTGAAATACCAAGACAATCCTGTTAAAGGGTACTCTTATTTGTAAAGCAGTCAGTAAAATGGTCAGTATTTTATCAAAGCTCCATGGCATTAATAACAAACATGTCTTTTTGGAAGGTTTCTAAACTATTATTATAAAATCATAACATTTGAAATTTATTACAAAATCACTAAAATGTATATAAGAATTTCTGAGATAATCTAACTCCTAGAAAGCCTTTTCCTAGCGTGAAAAAGACCACAAAAATAAAAAAGTGCAGATTCAAGGCTGTCTGTCCTTGTTACATGTATAATTAGTAAACAGTCAATGAACATAAATCTTCAATAACAGTTCTGTCAAGTTAAAACATGTGCCCCAAAATACACATGATTCGTGGCCTCTTACACTATGGCAAAGCGTTATAGTACTTCCTTTTTTCTGTACTGGATTCTTCACAGAGGTTAGCTCGTACTGTACAGAGAAAAGGGCGTTCTAGTTCTGTTGGGATTTTTTGTTGTAATTTGTCTTTTTGCTCTAACCGAATCTGTTTGAAAGGTGGCATAGGAAGTAGTGTTAGAATATTATGTATTAGAATATTTGTGGTACCTGCATTCTCTGAGTTATGACTAGAATTGCAAATGTACTAATGCACCTGTTGGCAGTGGAACAGTTAAGAGCTTGGGCTCTGGACTCGGACCCCAGGTTTCTAGTCCTGGATTCACTACTTTGTACATAGTCTCCTTAATCTCTGTGCTTGGATGATAATAATAGGACCCATCTTTAGAGTTGTGATAATTGAATTAGTTCATTGAAATACTTAGAAACGTGTCTGGCATGTATTGTTGAAAATGTGTTCTTGTTGTTTTTAAATACTCCTCACTCCAACCACCCCATGGTCACCCCAGATACCAGAAAGGCCCTACTGGACCAATACTGCCTCTCAGACTCATCGGCAGCTCATTGTTTCTTCACTACCAGCTGTTTTCTTTTTCCTCCAGGGTATACATGCTGTGTTTCCCTCTTTTTCATTGCTCACAGATGATTTAAACAGAAGTCACTGCTTAATATTTTTCTACTGGTTTTCATGCTTTTGTACAGTGTCTATTACAGTACATTTTAAGTAAGATTTAAGTGCTATTCTTAACATTTTAATGAAGGAGGGATTCATTAGGAAGTCAGAAGGAAATGCAGTTGAGATCCTACACAATTTTTACTAAACACACATACACTATAGTGAGGTTAGGTTATTTAAAAAAACAATAATTATAAGAGGAAAAGCTAGAAAATTGTAAGATTGAAAAAAATGGAGATAAGTACATACATTGTTATACTTATTGATTTTGTTTAACATGTGGCAACATTTCTGATTTAATATTTCACCATGGAACCCTGGTCTCTAAGATGATGACCGCGGCCAGTGTGCAGGCCAGGAGACTAGCAAGATGACAAATGCAGTAGGTCCAGTAGAATGATGAAAGGCTGACACATACACCATTCCAAGACTGTGGGAACACAAGGATGATGATACTTAAGGACCTTATAGTTGACTGCGGGTGTTGGCTCTGGAAACAAATTCTTCACTTCCTAGTTTTCGTCAATGGAAATATATTACTTTCTTAATGGAAGAAATAAACTTTGGCTACATAGGAAGAACTGGGCCAAAGGTTCACTCACTACCTGTCCCAGGGTCAGGCGAACAGGACATGTTCAGTGAACGTGCGCTTCTTGGACACATGTAAATCCTCACTCTGTACATTGGGAATAGCAGACGTCAGAAGCTTGTTTAATTTTTTATTCATACCACACATGGTTCTACAGAGGGTCTGATAAAAGGAGAAACACTGGCAATAAGAGTGACTTTTTTATTACTGTCTGACTGTTGGCAATATAATTGTTAATAAAACCTGGGTTCAAATCCTGTATTCTGAGAACATTATTAATAATATTCCATTATCCCGCCTCCTTCTGGATTTACTCATGTTGAGTGTCCATTGTGCAGAATGAAAGTGTATTTCATAGTACAGCCTGCCTCTCTATTTATGTCTGTTTTGAAACCCTTCATTTCCTTCTGGTATTTTCTGTACAACGTGAGAAACCAAAATGGAAAAAGTATATCATTTCTCCTGTGTGTACTCCTGTGCCTAAGAGGTATATACAGAGTAGTA